TTGCGTTTTAGTAGTTTTTTTATATAAATTAGGTATAAAGCCTATAATTAACTAAACAATAATTTTTAAAGTAATTAATATTAATGTTGCCCTCTTTGCATAGCAAAGAGGACTATAAAGGGTAGGCCCCTTAGTAAAGGAAAGTTTTATGCTAAAATTCTTTAAAAATAATTAACGTAAACTTTGTTTTTAACATTGTTTATAATAAATTTAAAAAATAATAGAGGTAGTGTGTGCATGTAAGTATTTCTTTTTTTTTTCTCTTTACTTAAGCCGTTAGCGAGAAAGTATAGTTAGCGTAAGTAAGTATAGGTTAGAATGTATTAACAACGCTTAACTTCTAATCTAAATGTATAAATATGTTTATATTATAGCCAAAATAACAGCAAAAGCAAAGGCGGCGGCAAGGTATACACGCTTAAAATAACTTTTAGAATTACATCTTAAAATTAAATAATTAACCTTAATATTTTAATGTGTGTAATGTACCGCGATAGGAAACCGCGCAGGTTCGAATCCTGCAGCTCTTACTATATGTTAGGTTGGGTAGGTGTATTGTGGTATGTTAAGGTGTTGGAGCAAATACAGTATCCCACTGTAACAGACCCTCTATTATAGCCAGATCCGTACCTTCCCCTACAAAGTCTCTTATAACAAAAAGAAGAAAAAACCCCTTTATTTTCTTTTTCTTTTTTCTTTTCCCCGCGTTCCTCCGGAATCAGTTATATAGCAATGCGGCATGTACACCGCACGCCAAGTCATTTTACCTTTACCAGTGACACATGGCGTCAGCAGACGAACTTCATCCAAGACAAAAATCATGCACAGCCCAACCTTCACTACGAGTACGAGGGGAAAGCCAAGAGGGTGATTTGCCAAGACTGCGGAAGCAACGTCGACCGGCCTGGCCCCAATGTTACACGGCATATATATATATATACTTTTTTTCAGCTTGTGGGGAAACGCAAGCTACTCGGAAGTGGAACTGTATATTCAATCTCTTTTATATTCTGCCTCTTGGTTTTGCGGAAAAAGAGGGGGAGGTGGAAAGGTGGCTTTCCTAGATTGACGAATTGGAACGTGGATTGGTTGGGTGACATCCCCGTCGGTCGTAATTGCCATTCTTTTTTAACTAACATGTTTGTGTTTCCCCCCGCGATGATGGTATAACCGGCTACGGACTTGGCCGAGGGGAAGCTGGAGGGGAATCAATAGTTTTTACCTGAATACTATTATAGAAACATTAGCTAAATAATCGAGACATTGTGTTGTTGTTGTTTTTTCTTTATTCTTTATAAATACCTAGGGCTTGATATACCTATTATATGTCCACCGTCTCATTGTGTCAAGCAAGGTGATATCAACAACAAGCAGCCATACTATACTTGAGTAGGTAATCATGGGATTGTATAATAAACTTCCGGAAGATATCGTCGAGGTCGACATTATTATCGCAGGAGGTATGTTTACCTATAATACATCGATCACCAATTACACATTTTACTAACGAAGAAAATAATCAGGCGGAACGGCAGGATGCGTCATCGCAGGCCGACTTGCAGAGGCAGCAGACCCAAGCCTATCCATCTTGGTCATCGAAGGAGGAATGGACAATTTCCAGAACCCTGCCGTGGTGACGCCGGCCATGTTCCCGGTCAACATCATGCCGGATTCGAAGACTGCTTTGTTCTACAAGGCCGTCAAGTCGGACCAACTCTCGGGGCGAGAGGTCATTGTGCCGTGTGGTGGTATTCTCGGCGGAGGGTCTTCGATAAATTTCATGATGTGAGTTTGTTTATTTGTGTCATATCCTAGACTAGTTCATTGCTAAATCAAAGGGGGGGAGGGGGAAAGGTATACCCGAGCACAGCGCGATGACTTTGACTCGTGGGAGACCCCTGGATGGTCTACGGACGAGCTATTTCCGTTTATCAAAAAGGTGTGGAAAGGTCAAGTTCTTATATCTCTCCCAACTTATCTACGTACCTTATAGGTTCTTCACATCGGAAACACCATACATACAGATGAGCTCACAAAAGCCTAACCTTAACACATCAAAACAGCTAGAAACCTACCACGGCCCGCGCGACGACAAACATCACGGCTCCAGCGGCCCAGTCAACGTATCAGACGGGACAATGCGTCTTCCACACATAGAAGAAGACTTCATCCAGGCCTCCTCATCCGTCGGCTATTCCGAGAAAGCCGATCTCCAAACCCTCGAACACAATAACGGCGTCGCCCGTTCCATGCGGTACATATCGCCCGAGGGCACACGATCCGACGCAGCACACATGTATCTGCATCCGCGTCTACGCGACGGGAAGCATCCAAACCTACATGTACTCGTCGAGTCGCAGGTAGTGCGCATTCTATTCGACGAGGATAAACGCGCCGTGGGGGTCGAATACCAGCCGAATCCACGATTCCAGCCCTCTACTACCACCACCAGCAAGAAATTCCAGATCCGTGCGCGAAAACTAGTAGTTTTAACATGTGGTGCCTGCGGCACACCCCTTGTCCTCGAACGCTCGGGCATAGGCCGGGAAGACGTGCTCTCGAAAGCAAACATACCCATCATCGAAAATCTACCCGGCGTAGGAAACGATTACGAGGATCATCATCTAATCCTCTGGCCATACCTTTGTTCACTCGCGCCGCACGAGACCATGGACGAGCTATTCTCCGGCCGGCTTTCTTGGGAAGAAGCGATGAAGAATAAAGATCCGAGACTCGGTTGGAACTCCCTAGATATCATGGGCAAGATCCGGCCGACGGAGAAGGATATAGCTGGTTTCGATCCTCATCTCAGGGCTGCGTGGGAGAAGGATTATAAAGATAAGCCGAATAGGCCTTTGGTGCTTATAGCGTTGTTGAATGCGTAAGCCCCCCCCCCCCCCCTTTTTATTATTATTATGAAGAAGGCAAACAAATATTCAACTGATGACCAAAGATATTACGGAGCTCCTGGTACCGTCGAACCAGGCCAATACTTGACCATGGGGACATATACAGCATACCCCTATTCACGAGGCCACATCCACATCACCGGCCGCGAGGTCGGAGACCCTATAGATTTCAACGCCGGATACTTTAGCGATGCCGGGGACGTGGATGTCAAGATACAGATGTGGGCGTACAAGAAGTCGCGCGAGATCATGCGACGCATGAGCCGTTATCGAGGCGAAGTCGCCGTCGGGCATCCGCCTTTCCCGTCCGCGTCCGAGGCTGCACTCCTCCTACTCGACGGGAAAGCCACGGACGGCCCCGACATCGAGTACACGGCCGAAGACGACGAGATCCTGGAGAAATACCTCCGCTTGAACATCAACACGACGTGGCACTCCATCGGCACGGCCAAGATGGCGCCCCGCGAGAAGTTAGGCGTGGTAGATGGGAATCTCAACGTCTACGGCGTCAAGGGGTTGAAGGTGGCTGACTTGAGCATCCCGCCGAAGAATGTGGCTGCTAACACGAATAATACCGCTTTGGTCGTTGGTGAAAAGGCTGCGGATATCATCATGCGGGAATTGGGGATTATCGCGTGAGAACAAAACGGGAAGGGGGTAAGATGAGAAAAGAGTTTTTGGTTCGAAGGAGGGAGAAGAAATTAAGAGTAGATAGGGGCGGTATACCGTCCGCATACGTAACCGCTAGCTGATCTGAGTATTGTTTCTTCTCTTGCTTCAATCTTTCGCCTTTTGCACTAGGTACCTACCCTACCTACAGGTCCAGGAAAAACAAGAGAAGGAATACTCACTCAAGTGGGTAATGGATCCTCGGAGGAGGCAGACCTAAAAAAGAAGAAGCCTGGTCTACATTGACAACATATAAGAGAACCAAGGAACCAAAAAAGTCAAAAAGATGCGGTGAGTGCGGATCGAACGCACGACCTTCAGATATCATTAAGAATGAAGTTGTGACTTCAGTCTGACGCTCTCCCAACTGAGCTATCCCCGCTTGTTGATGCAAGTTTAGTTGTTATGTGTGTTTCTATCATGGTGATCCGATGCCGCTTCCGATGATTAACCGATCGATCAGTAGCACCGATAACAGAGTGGACCCGGCGGGCCGCCATGACTCTTTCGAGCCCCGACATCGTGAGTATATCGCAGGAACACGGTACACCAATGCACGTTTAAATCAAACAAAATCATCAGTTGCGGGGATAGCTCAGTTGGGAGAGCGTCAGACTGAAGTCCTAACTTCATTCTATAAAACCATTTAATCTGAAGGTCGTGCGTTCGATCCGCACTCACCGCAATAAAACATCTTTTTGTGATAGTTATAGAGATAGACTAGGTTCGGTTGGCTGTCTTGTTTCATCCTCTCTTTTTTTTTTTACTTGTTGTAAACTAATGCCTTGAATTGCAGGGCAAGGGGTTTACTATCTGAGGTTCTGACTTATCAGTGTTTCTTTTAACTTGCTCGGAGGGCATGATGGTCAGTCAGCCGGCGTTAAAACGGGCTGTTTCTATAACTTGACTGGACTGTTGTGTAAAAAAGGGCTGGACAAGTACCTACTCGTAGTTTTGTCATTACTCCCGGTCGAGTCATCGCTTCTGATCCGAATGGGATTGCTGCGGCTTTACAAGTAAAAGGGACACATGAATCTAAAGCTAGGTAGCTTTGAAAACGGCCTATGATGTCTTCTAGTTCAAGGATTTTAACCTCGACTTATTCTATTTCTTGCACGGCAAAGCCCTATGCTTCTTTCTGCCTTGTATAAACGCGTCTTTACCTAGACGCTGTTTCACCCTCTGCTACCTACGGGCCGGGGCACATCTCCTGATAAGCCTTGAAGTAAAGATCTCCGTCTACTAATCGTAGTAGTACCTACGTGTATGTGTAGGTTTCATTGCAAAAAAAAAATATGTACACGTCCGTACCCCTTTGTAAGGCAGCCGAAGTCTGCTTTTACAATGCTGCCGCCCTAGCAGATAGATAGATAGGTCGTGAAAGCAAAAAGTAAGTTAACCGACCCGACAAGGTCAAAAAGATGCGGTGAGTGCGGATCGAACGCACGACCTTCAGATAATCTAGAAGAAGATTGTATATAAATGAAGTTTTTTGTTTCAAATTTATTTGACTTCAGTCTGACGCTCTCCCAACTGAGCTATCCCCGCTTGATGAAGATATTATTCGTCTAGTGATGCTCAAGTATCTGTTTGATGGGAAAGCTAAGAAAATAGTAGTGTGTGTGGTGTCCACTTAGGTACCTATTATGTACGCCCGCCCTAAGTTTTCGCCTAGGTAGGTAGGTAAATATCTAGTTACCTAAAGAGTAATAGTAGCCGATATCATAGGTAATCTTCAGAGATTTGGTTTCATGGCAAAAATGTGATGCGAAAATAAGCCTCGTAAAACACTACAACCAAGGGGCCCAAGGGGACTCGGAGACTGCGAGAGTGTGACATGTGATTTCCTCGGAATCTGGTGTAAAAGATACCGCCGCCACAGCGGTTCGGTCCCCACACTGCTATAATGCAGATGAATGTTATAGGAACCGATCTTGATTCCTGCCTAGGAACCTTGACGGTGGATTAGACTGGCAGGCAATCACTACGGCGTGATAAGGGTCCTTGGGGTGGCTTTCATGCTCTCAACTATCCCTCTGAAATGACAGTCATTAGCAAGTGCATATGGCATCTTGAACTATGGGTAACGGTATTCTTAAAATTCCTAGGTATTATAAATCAACGCTTATCATGATCCCGACTATCATCCGCATAGATGGTCTGTGATACATTCGACCCGTTAGGTCCGAGTAGTTCACTCGCGCTCGTTGAGTCTCCACGGGGATCTTCCGGATCAGGAGTCGTCCCAATCAGAGTGCGCAAGCCCGTGATGGTACCTCGTGGTATGTCGAGGCCTAACCCGCCCCGCATATTGACCTCTGGTACGCCGTTCGAATCGCGGTAGCCCCTGCTCCCAGGGTCACCGGCTTCCGAGCGACCGAATAAGGGGCTGAAAAGGTTTCGGAACCGTCGCATGGGTCCCATGGCTACGGCTGATACGGCCGGCATACATGAGCATATCAAGCCGATGTTGGTCTCGGCAACCCTGTTTTTATCCTCGTTAGGCCCGTTGTCCAAGGTGACTAACTCGACTCCTCACCCTGAGCCAGAGGCAGTCTTTTGAGGTCTGGCTGATTCCAGGAACTAAGAGATCTGGCTTACTTGGTAATGTATGTATCTGTGACATTCCAGGTAAAGTCTTTCAAGTCTGTGGGGAGGTATCTTTCGAATCGGATGACCAGGTTTGTTAACCCAGCAAGACAAGCACTACAACCACGAAAGAATGGAGGCGTCAGTCGGTCCAGAGATATCTGCGAAGAAATCATCGCCGAACTTACAAGAGTCCCAAGAGGAAAACACTACCAACAGCGGCCTTGCGCCTCCTAGAGAGTTTCAAAGAAGGAATGATATGTATCGGTATGACGAGGATATAGATATCAGTGATGACTGAGAATATAGTCCCAGCCGTCGTGATCGTTGGGAGGACCTTCATACAGCGACGAGGCACTGTGAGCGAGCCGATGTCGAGATTTGCTGGACGTTCAGGGGTGCATACCCCTAGAGTGGTGAAAACTACAACGACGCAGAATACTACTACAGCCACCATGCCGGCCCAGATCATGAACCTGAGTCGTGGGAGGGGGCTGAATATTCGTAGGTATAGAGCCAACAGGGAGACCTTGATTAACGTGTTGCTGATCCTCAGAAAGACGGCATCTACAACGGCCGGCTGCCGGGTCACCATGTCAGTCGTCGGCTCTATCGATATAGTTGGAAGAAACTAACGAATTGGTATAGGTAAATGTTCAAAAGAGACACATCCCATATATGGCGACCTATGGCACCATTCCCGGGCATATCCAAGACTGCGTTCGGTCCGTCAGTTTCGCCACCATTGCTTGCCAAGAACTAGGTAGAGAGACAACATCAGACATACGCGACAGGACAATTCCATTAAAGGTAATAGTGAATGCCTAGAGCAACGCTCATCCCATCAGTTGATCCGACCAAGTTGAAGCCAACAAGGGCTGAGACGCATCAAACGAACCGTAGCCAGAAAACATGCATCTGAACGGGGTCGGTCACTCAAAGTTAGCCCAAGTGCGCCACAAGGCCGAAAGACGTCAAGACAGAGGAAGGAACTTACAATCATCAGCACCTAGTCTTCGGGCCAGCCCGAGACGGGCGTAGATGCGCAGTGCCACGAGGATGAGGGCAGGCACGAGCGTGATACCGATAGTGAGCACGACGTGCCACGCCCGCGACTCCGGATCGACCAAGTTGGAAGTCAGACCGGCCGGCGGCGATGCTGCCGGCGTAACGGCCAGTTGTTCCCGAGACAGGGCCATCTGGGTGGGTTTTCTTTCTTGTCGAACCCACCGGGCCTATCTACCCACGCCGAGTCGCGCGCGCGCATCAAAGCTTTCAAGTTATTATCGTGCAGAGCATCGGTTTGAGACTACAAAAGTAATAATAATAACTCGGGACGAAGTATAGAGAATCCATGGCCGCCGTTATTGAGTCATGGCGAACAGAAATCCGTCGCTTTGATGTTTGATAGAGTTATGATTTGGGTAAAAAATAATATGTTGTCCCGATCGTTCGCAGTCTTCTTTGATTTTAGAATGATGAACAGCTTCAATACCTATTGTAGATCTGTCACGCCAGTTGCTAAGGCCCTAAGGTTTAGTACGTGGGATCTGAGTACCCGTACGTCCCACATCTCTGGGTGTCTGGCACTGGCACTCTGGATCCCTCTTTCCCTCTCCCCTCTCTCTCTCTTTCACTTCCTCCGGTCCCGAATCTCCACAATCCGCACCAGATTCCCAGAAAATATAGTCTTTGTTGGTTGGCGACATGACGATGGCAGGGGCCCCTGCCCAATACTATAATCTTTCTGGAGATCATTGCAGGTGCTGGGGATTAGTTTCTAGTTTATTTAGCCCAAGCGTTACAGGGTGTTGTGTCAAATGTTGATGATGACTAAAGCAATTTACCGCTTGGACTCTCGTTCTGCTTGGTAATTCGGATCCATGATCAAGCCAATGTTGAAAACGCCACAGACCTTGAATTTAAAGCCTCGGGTTTACTCTTGAGTTTGAGGCGTGTCTGGCATATGAGTGAATAGTTGTCGCTATTGTTAATCTAGATGTTGGCATTACGATTCAGCATCGCTAATTACGTTATTAGCCAGACATGCTAGTTCAGACCCCAGGAACAGGAGACAGGGAGTAGGATGCGGGACCTAGTGAGGGAAGAGGCGGGATTTCCATGGGGTTCCCTAGTTTCGCCTAGCCGATCACTCGGACGTCGTTGTTGGGAACGAAAATCTCTTGGAGGGAATGATAGTATCCTTACCAAGGCTGAGATTAGCCCGACACTAAAAGGGAAAAACACCACCGACCGGTGATGAATCTGGCAAGCTTGGTGCAAAATGGAGATTGGCCAAAATAACCAGCCGTTGAGCAAGGTGCAGCAGTTTCCAGTTCCACAGTAATGTCACTTTCACTTATCAGCAAGAATTGAAGTAAGAAAAAACATACTTTCTTCTTTCATTACCATGTCTTTGGGATTGCATCGAGGATCATGCATGCATAGTTCTCTTCCCTCATACCAATTGAAGGGAAAGGATCACATAAAATAGAGGCGCAGGTGATTAATTATTGTTGTACCTAACCTAGTTTAGTCAGGTAACCGATATGATACACCTCCTAAATGCAATTATGCACCATTCATCTGAAAACTCCCCGTCCTGATGTCATGCCGTCGTCTCCTCTCGTAATCCCCAAACCACAACCATAGTCAAAGGTTTAAGAAGTAAACCTTATCAGCTGAAATAAACACCACCAAAGTATGGTGAACGCGATCGGGTTGCCGTGGAGATGACCACAGAATATGCCCTCTCAGGCTCTCACCATACGCAAAGGAAGACTCCCCTTAGTCACCAGAGACCTAGGTTTTTCCATGAGCATATATCCCCTTTCTTTCCCATGTTTTGCGTCGTTGTTGCAAGCCGGTCGTGTAACAAAAACCATGCCGTTAACCTAAGGAAAAAGATGCACTCTCCTTCTTTTGCCCTGCCCTTTAAACCAGATACGCGGGTTGTATCACGCCAACAAGCATCATTATTGTCATTATGATGGGCGGTGTTCCTTTTGTCGGGGCTCAATAAACGGGGGATGCGTGTCGTGTCCGAGTCCGAATGGGTTTGTTTCTGTTGTGGCGACGTTAATAACGCTCAGACACAATGAAAACGGAGATATGAGCGACCGGATTCATGGAAGAGTTACTTACAAACCCGAGTTGGACTGGACGCCAGAGGTAATGAAGTCCCAGAAGAAACCACAGAAACAACAAAGAAGCAACCTCATTCCGCCCAACATTTCCCATCGAAGCCTTCAAGCATTCATTCGTCTTAGCGAACTGATCGAGACTAGTGACACCAATCCGTGAACTGGATACCATTGGCTTGCAGCTCTCGCTGCTCAGGGCGAAGATTATCCTGTGCGGGAATAGAGCGTGAAGCATTGTCTCCGTTCCCTCGACCCTGTACATGGGCTTGGTGTGGCACTGCAGGTCTCGGAGCCATAAGTGACGTTCCGGGGGCGATGCCTGGGCCAGAGTGTCCTCCTGGCTCAGACCACACAGAGGTTGAATTTCCGATCTCGAAAGAATTGCCGAGAGGCGTCCAGCAGCGAGGATTGCCGGCCTCGCTGTCTGCCTCGGCGATGGGTCCGAGGGGGGATTCTACGTCTCTGGCTCGAGTGGGCCTGGGCGGGCGAGGAGGGCTGGTTCCCGCGTTGGCGCTATGTTGTCCTTCTCCCGTGGTGTCTGTAGTTGTGGCCCGGCCAATGAGATTAAGCTCGATTGGGGATTGATTTTGACCTGGATCAGCCGGGGCTGGGTCTGACACGAGAACTGCTGCTGCCCGCTGCTGTTCAGCGTTCAGACGCCTCTGGCGGTATCTATCTCGCAGACGTTCCCAAGCATTGACGATGCGCCTTTTCTCGACAAAAAGTATCAGACCGATAATAAATATGGCCAGGGACGCATAGAATAAACCAATGGCAGCCGCGTAGTTTTTGTGTACGTGAGATTCGGGATCGTTG